TGTGCAGGGAGGGGGCTGGCGCGGGTGGGAGCATCAAGTTGGCTGCGGGAGTGCTCGGCAACGCGGGGCTGACGCTGCCTCACTTGGGGAAAAGGTCCCGGCGAGCGCATCTGTTGCATGAGAGATGGAGTTAGAGCTAAAAAGGGAACCACGGGTTGTTCTGGAAGCACCTGGCAGTGTTTAATGGGTGCAGCTGATTTTGAATTAAAATAAAAACCTGAAATCGTATGGAAACAGAGCACCTAGGGCCGTGTGCGGAGGGAGGGGACGCATGTTGATCTCTGCCCCACTCCCAACAGCACGTGTGTCAGGGTGCGTGCCTGCGTCTGCCCCAAGTCCCGCAGCAGAGCACGGCTCCCCTGCCTGTGTTAGACTGACCGTGGGGATGCAGGCAGGGAGATGATGGGATTGCCTTGCTGGCGTGGGGCAGAGGGAAGTGGGTGCTGCCAGTCCCTGCACGCTGCACCGTGGGGATGCCCTGGCTTCCTCCGAGGTGTCTTCTCCCACGGGCTGGACCGCCTGCACCCCTGGGGCTGTGCTGGCACTTCCCAGGGCAGAGGGATGGCGAGGGAGGGGGGGAACTTTCATGGAAACAGGTGACCTGTGCCCGCTCGGTGGTGGGAATGGGTGTTGCCATGGAAATAGCTTCTCCAAATAGCATCCTTCATCCCACCCCCAGCACCCGGCTCCCTTAAGCATTCTCCCACGGGCTGGACCGCCTGCACCCCTGGGGCTGTGCTGGCACTTCCCAGGGCAGAGGGATGGCGAGGGAGGGGGGGAACTTTCATGGAAACAGGTGACCTGTGCCCGCTCGGTGGTGGGAATGGGTGTTGCCATGGAAATAGCTTCTCCAAATAGCATCCTTCATCCCACCCCCAGCACCCGGCTCCCTTAAGCAACCCAAGACAGAGAATAGCTTTATTTATTTATTTCATGCTGCGCTTGCTTTGAGAAGGGCGCTGTTAATGAGAGCCGGGGGTCAGGCCTGCCGAGCGTGCAGGTCCCTGCGCTGCCCTCCCATCCCGGCAGCAGTGGGGAGGAAGGGGATGGGATGGCAAAAGCCAGGAGGCATGAAAAGGGGCTCAGCGGCAGAGATGAAACACCAGCTCCCGTGGAGAGACGGAATTAGCTGAAGTGGAGGGAGGATGGTATGGCTGCCTAGTCATAGGAAAGGGAGAGCAGGGGATGGAGGGGGAGGTGGAGGAGGCAGGGAGAGGGGTGGAATGTGGGGAGGGAGGTTGGAGAAAGTTTTGGACATGCTGAAAAATCAGGGAGGGGAACGGGAGGAGAAGGGGACTGGAGGGGATGTGTGGGGCAAAGGAGCTGTGGGTTCAGGGACTGGCCGTGGGAGCAGGGCTGCAAGAGGTGGTGGGGAAGTCTGGGGCAGAGCTGGAGGAAGCCCCACCGCAGGCAGCCCTCCAGCGCCCTTCTCAAGGCATCCCCTGAGGTGAAGTGTTGGGGAAGTTGGGCCCCCGAGACTGAAGCCTGGGGGACAGAGAGGGGGAGTGTGGGTCCTGCTGGACTCGCTGGTGCCGTGCTGAAGTTACCGGGGATGCCCGTGGCTCAGGCTTCCTGAGCAGTGCAGGTGCAGTGGTGCTGCCTTTCAGCAGCCTGGGCTTTGTGTGTCCCGCTCTGCTGCTGCTTTGGAGGGACAGGGAAGACTAAAAGTAAAATTTACAACAATAATTGAAAAAATAAATGGGAAGTGGAGTCTGCTTTCGTTAGGAATGAGAGATGGGCTGGCATGGACAAGGAGGTGCTGCGGTTGGGCTGCCCTTGCAGCGTACCTCCTCGCCCCCTTGGCTCTTGTGGTGCTCAGAAGCTGGCATTTCCATGATGCTTTGGGTGCAGCCATGGCTTTTGGGAACTGTAGGAAAATGGCTGCAGCCATCCCGATCAGGTAGGAGGCCATCCTTCCCCTGGGATGGCAGGCTGGCAGCAGCAGTGACTCGCTGGCTAGAATCGCCTTTGGAGAAGCCCAGGAGAGCCTGCTGGCTCGTTGCTCCGAGCGCAGGTTATTTAAGGCATAGGCTGGTTATTTAGTGTCCCTTGAAAGCATTTTTTCCCTCATAGCTCCTGCCAATGCCTCTCCCTGCTGCCAGGCAGGCATGCCCCGCTTTCCTAGGGCGTATGCTCCTGCCCCATGGCACAGCTGCTGGTCAGACACGGCAGTCCCTGCTCCCGGGTGCAAAGGATTGCTCCTGCAAAGCTGTTCTCTGGTGGGGACCCTTTCTGACTGCTCTGGGAGCAGGCTATTCCGCTGTAACCTCTTGCTGTTTCAAGGAGAGTTTATTCTGCCTTGGGTGTAGCGAACTCTCCGTGGTGGGCTGCATGTGCCTGCATCTCTCTGCATCCATGCTGGCATCCAGTGGGCACTGCCAGGCTGGTGGGCTTGGATCTCCTGACCCTCGGGCTCCTCTGGCAGCTGCGGAGATGGCTGACAGCATCCGAGGAGGAGCTGGCAGGTGTCTCCCACTGTAGCCCTCGAAGTGATTGGCTCAGCCTGGCCTCTTTCCGTGGGGTTTGGGGTCATTTTTGTGTTCTCTCTCCAGCCAAGGAGGACGTGCAAGTGGAGGGATGAAGGAGGAGAGCGATGCTAGCAGCATCCTGGCTGCCTTGCACTGTGCTCTGAACCAGAGCACAAGCTGGCTGGTTCTAAACTCTGACTCTGTTTAACTTGGAAAACTGGTGTTAAATATCTTTAGCTGATCTTGAAAAGTCATCCGCCAACTTTTGGC